AGATCTCTTTTGTTACGGTACATGATATCAATAGTTAATTATCGCATCATTTTCTGTGATTTAAATTTTAAAATTCATTTCTAATTATGATAAGTGTTTAATGTTTTAATTGAATCAATGCTTTCATGTAATTGTGAGTACAGTGTTATTCTATTAGGTAATAGTATTTATTGTATTTACAGTTATACCGTTCATCAACAAATCATTTTGTGTTCATTACATTTGAGTTAATTTTTAAGTTTTGTTTTTTAGAATAATTGTATGATTTATGACAAATTATTTATCTTTAAGTATTGTATAAAAAGATCATTTAAATACTCAAATCAATCACATCTACTTATAATGAAGTACTCGTTATCATAGAATCATTGTGAAGAATATTCTGTACTTTATATTCTGTATAACTTCTTATTTGTTAGTTCACTATAGAATTGTCTATAGAATTGTATTTTGAGACCCAATCTTGTTCACAATTTTAGTTAAATTAAAAAGTTTTAAAATTTTTTTATACAGTAATGAATTTCAAATACAATGTTTAAAACCTATATTGATTATTATCGTATACAGTATTAATATCTGTCCATCACTTGGAGGACCAGTTGTTGTCTCGCTAACCAATGGTTCAGTCGGTGTCTCCACAATTGGACACTTGAATACGTGTGCACTCATCAGTCATTATCTTATCTATTGGTGACCATCGTATGGATAATCACATACAGTATAAGTACAATTGAGTCCTAAAAGTGAACTCAGCTTGTACATTTTAATGAGCTCTCTAATAGTGCTACTTTTCATAGGCGTATCCAAATGGTCACATTAAGCCCCTATGAGTTGACTTCACTGTAATATATTGAACGATAGCTTTGAAACATGTTTGACAGTGAGAGCACACATACAGTAAGTTCAGAAACGACACTGAATTGTGCAGAATAACGGCTACATTTGTGTAGACTTGCTGAGCGCACCGGTAGCCAAAGGGTTGGTCCATAGAGTGCGGGCACTGCGTGAGAGATGGCGCTTGGGGTGTTCGGGGAACGGTATGTGCGGAAAAGGGTGCTCGTGCTGCCACTGTGGCGCCTATTGTACGCCTTCATGCTACAGACAGTGAGTGCACACAAAGGCTCTGTTCACTAATTGTGGCCTAAAGTGAGTGTCATTTAAATCGCGGTTTAATGCCATTCGTAACGAATAGTGTTGAGATTTGAACGGTTTATGACAGCGTGTGTGCACTGTATGTGCAAAACAAACAGTCGTTTAATGAAAATGTAATAAATATTATTAATTATTAATTATTACTGCTATTTATAAATAATATTTAACGATTAGTTATTTGTGTTTCCGATAATAACTATTATTATTACTGTTTGCTATAATATATGCGATAATATAATGAAATTATGATTTTGAATATGATTTGAATATTTGGTTTACAATATAGACTACAAAAACATATCTAATATTTAAATACAATTTATACATTCAATTGAATTGATATGAAAACAACAGTAATAATAATGAGATGATTATTATGATGATTGCAAACACAGATTTAATTGAATATTATTTAATAACCAAATTATGATCTTGATTATTAATTAATTAATTAATTATTACTCGTATTATTTAATATTAATTATGATTTTTAATAATAATATGATTAATGAATGCTTTCATGTAATAATGGGTTTAATAATTGCTTTTAATTTTATATTTATTATAGTATTTAAGAGTAGACACAAAAACACTTTGACTTAACAATCCTAATAACACGTGACTTATTGTCACCGACGGATCCCAACCGACCGAAGACTTTATCCCATCTATTGATCTAATAATCGACTCAAAAGAAGTCAGCCGTCGATCACCGATCAGCGCATACCTCAAGAGTCTGACTGAAGATATCATTTAATAACTAAATACCCATTGAAGTCACCAATTGGTTCATACCATACATACACCACCGACTCATCCATTGTTTTAATTAATTGATTGATTGGCAGATAATGAGTGATCACATGAGGGATCACATGAGAGACATGAGAGACGTGAGAGATATGCGAGACGTGCGGGACGTGAGAGACATGAGAGATGTGCGGGATATGCGAGATATGAGAGATGTGCGGGACGTACGGGACGTCCCTATGAACGACATCCGCGACGACTACTCTCTGGAGGAGAAGATCGTGACGAGTGTTTGGGTTCACGACCGGCAGATGAACGGCAAGTCCATCGAAGAGCTGCGGATGGACTTCGAGCAGAGGTTCGGCAAAAAGGCGCCGAAACACGACTCGATGCTGGGGTGGGAGCGGTCGGCGTTCACCACCGGTTCCGTTCTGGAGCCGGTGCCCCATATATCGCACTCACAGACACGGGAACAGCAGCAGCACCACAACCGCATGCATATGGAGTCGGCGTCCATGTCGTCGTCGATGTCGCGCTCGTCGGGCGGCGGCGGCGCCGGTCGTAACAAACCGCAGGCCTCCTCATACCACCCGTCGCTCTACAAGACGGAGCTCTGCCGTCAGTACTATGAGTACGGGTATTGCGATTACGGGGAGCGGTGTCTCTTCGCGCACGGGAAGTATGAGCTCAAGAGGATTCCCAACTACAAGACCAAACTGTGCGCCTCCTATCACAGCTCCGGCTACTGCTCTTTCGGCAGTCGATGCGCTTTCATTCATAAGAAACACGAGGCCAGAGAGGGCTCGGAGGGTCCCACCAAAGTTCGCTCATCCCGTTCCATACGACCCAATCGGCGAACGGAACTCAGTCGCAAGAAATAGAGATACACGGCATATGTCTCAGCCTTTCCGGACAGTCGTATGGATACCATATATAAACCACACGAAGAATTACAAACACTCTTCATTTGTCTCAGCATTTGATTCAACACTTATTCCTTAAAATTTAACTATTTTTGTCTCATTTTTGTTTTGTAACCCCTTTTCGTCTAATTTTGTGAGTTTCACTAGTTTTTGAAAATACGGTTTAATTAGAAATTTTGATTTTGTATTTAATTTGAGATGACTATTCAACACTTGATTCACTTTATGATTATTATTACGTGTAATGAATAGTGAATGAGAAAACAATCTCTTAAACTTTTTGCCATTTATAATGATTGAGAATATAATGTCTTTATTTTGTGTAATCATTGGTTTAATACTTTCTATGATAATTAATAATTAAGTCTTATTTGTGTCAATAAATACTTGAAATACTTATGAGATTTTCATTTTCATTATTTAATTGCCGGTAAAAACATTTGTTTTAAAAACATATTTATATTTTGAGAATTACTGTAAAAGAATTGCTTTTTTACAATTATATGTTTGTATTTATCATAAAGTATTTGATTATATAAATGAGTTAATTATTACAATTACTATAAGGACTCAATAAAATGATAGTAAAATTGACTGAAAATGTTTAGTGAATTAATACTCGGGGATATACTGGTATATGGTTATGTAAAATCACGGCAAACCATGGGTTAAGACTTTTCAAATGAATGGTCACTCAATTGGCTTTGGATTTGCGGCGCAACTCCTGCTTTCTTCGGTAAGCCTTGATGTAGAAGTTGGCGAACATCACGAAGAATATGGGTCCCTGGGATACAGGCAGTACTCTATACACCAATGGGTAGTCCACGTGATATATGTTCAGAATGAGGCCATAGATGCCGATGAGTGCGAACTGAATCAATTGGATTTGAGTGATGTATCGCTTCCACCATAAGTAGGGCTGAACTGACGGCCCAAACGCCGCCAAAGCGTAGTAGGAATACATCAAAACGTGACAAAAACAGTTGAGTAATGCAAATAATCCCAACACTGGCATCAGTGGTGAGACCTGTTCATTGGGTGACATACAAAATCACGAATAAATTATTTGGTGACAAATTTTTGTGCCAATTCATCAATTCAGACAAAACTTTTTTTGTGTGCATTCATTATAGCCTATGATTTATTGATAGCACAGTAATTGTAGTAATGGCCTGTCGTGTGATACTAACCCACGCACTGATCCATCCGATGATGGGAACAGATATGTGATGATAGATATGAAGGACTGTTATCTGATTGGTCTTCTTTCGGGCCACGAAGAAGAACGTGTCGATAAAGTCGACAAATTTGGTGATCATATAGTAGTGAAACATGTGGACCACTCTCATGGAGGCGGCACTGGTGTCCCGATTGTCCGGAAACTTAAAGTCCAGAAGTCTTGTGCCGAAGTGCAGCCATTGGACCGATTCGTATAAGAAGAATAGGTTTATGGAGACCATCACCACATTGTATAACAGCATAAGACTTCTCAGTTCAAAGGGATTCCGGTTTTTCATCCACTTTGGACCCAATTTGGTGACGATCACGAAGTAAGCCATGAGAATGGCCATCAGATTCCATGGACCGCCACTCATGAGTGGCAAGTGGTTGGTCCGCGGGTCGCACCTGTCGTCCCAAAACTGATGAATATAGTAGTGATAACCAGTGCTGGCGTCCAAGACATCACTTTGGGATGCATTCACTTTCAATGCACTCATCCTATCACTCGTTGTATTACTTTGCGATGATTTAACCAAATGAACCAAATCTATGATTATTTACAGAAAAATATATTAATTCAATGAAAAATCTTAAGTTTTAAAAATCAAAGTATATTTACATTTGCTACAGCATTATACAAATTAATGATAAGCTTGACACAATATTAGACTAATTAATGATAAGCTTGACACAATATTAGACAAATTAATGATAAGCTTGACACAATATTAGACTAATTTTAACAATTTATTAATTGTTTATTAAATATACTATGTAATAGAAAATGTAATTATAAGGTAGTAAACAACTTATTTGGTTTGTTGTAATAACACAATTTGTAAAATTGCTGTTTTAATGACTGAAAACTGATTGACTGCAAGTGAAAGTGTTGTATTTAAATTTTCATTAACAGTATTTCAATTCATAACACAATACACATTAAAAACTTTTTATACAAAATGTCAAAATGAACTTTTAAATTATAAAGTATAATATTTTATTTTTTTTAGTAAACCATAAAATGCAAATAAAAACAGGAAATTTTGATAAAATTATTTGTAAATAATATTATAATTTTATTCAATTATTTTCTTTTTAAGCCTTTCGTATAAACTTTGAAATGTGAAAGTTTTCTTATTTTATATAACTTACATAAGAGATATGAATGTATTTTAATTTATAATGTAATATAAAATTTTATTTCGACTAAAATATTATTTAGGAATATGAATTTATTTGAGATATTTTTCATATTTAGATAGTATTATAAAGTTTTCAAGTGTCTGCATGAGAATTATATTGTTTTCATGAATTTTTAATTTAGTAGTATTATGTAATCTCTTAAACAAATCAAAACCACAGCTCAAAATATACTTGAATTACAAAATTTCATAAATCGATTAATTTTTAGTTAATTTTCAAAACTCTTCCTAAACAACAAGATTCACTGCCAATACTAATCAAATTAATAACTTATTTATCCCAGTAAGCTATCTAAAATATTATTTAAATAATTTTATAAATTATATGGATTAAATATTTTACAAACAATTTCATTATAAAGCAATATATAGAAATATAGAATTAAGATAATTTAATGCGATACTTACATTGAAACTAGGTACTTGATTATTTCATTTCACTTGATTAGAATATTGACAAATAATTGGATTTTTACAAAATGTGTGGTTTATATGATGAATAAATTGAATGAAGACTTAATATTTCCACAACAAATAACAATTCAAAAAAATTGAGTTCAAGTTTAAATTGATTTTATATTAACGAATTAATTTTAGGCACAATATATAAAAACAATTTGCTTAGATTTGTATTTTATGCACAATTCACAATATGAACACAATATATAAAATATTTAAAAATTACTACGAAACTAATTATGTTTGACTAAAAAAATTGCAAACATATTTAAAACAAATTATAAAATAATTTTTACTAAAAATAAATATCATAACATTTTCGAGAGGAACTATATATAAGAAAAATAATTCTGAAACAAGATATTTGTTGCCTATTGAGTAGTATAAAGGATATAATTCAATGCCATTCGGCGCACAAAATAAATCATATATTTGTTAAGCGAATGGAAATAATAGATAAATAAATGGCCATAAAGTCGAAGATTGTATGAATTGAGTGAAAATTTTTATTCAAATAGAGAAACAAAATGATTAGAAATGCTTTCACTTTTTGGAAAAATATATTCAATGACAAGGAAGTGGATAATTGGCATCAAATATACGGCGAAAAACTCGCAAATAATTTGCGGCAAAAGGCGACGAAAAAATTGCAACAAAATTAACGTTTCACTTCATAAATGGTATTAAAGGTTAGACCACATCGACAATAGGATAGACACACCGACAGACCGGTCGGTGCTGTTACGTAGACTGTGAATATTAATAGTCCTGTTTTAATGGCTTTTATTTAAATTATTAAAAAGCATTTCTCTTATACTCATTATTACACATATGATTGTTATTAAAAACACAATTGCGTTACAATTGAATTGAAAACAAAAACAATTTGTTAAACAAAACTCTTTTTTGTGTTGAATATAATACGAAATCTTTTTGGAAAATATACTGATTTACAAAGAAGTGGCAGAAAATCAGAAATAAAAATAAATGGGTTATACTATTGAGGGTGGGTTCACGACTAAAACGAAAAACTTCTGGTTTTGAACTGTTTTGCATCTAATGAATGAAATTTTGGAAATTTTGCAAATTTGCAAACATTTTATTGCTTTTAACGTTATGAAGTCAATCTCAACATTAAGATTAAGATTACATTTTATATTCAAGTCTCTGATGGTTTTTTAATTAATTCATTATAAGTTTATAAATTATAACTTATTGGTCTCAATAGTGTGACCCTTACCTTATCCATAGCATTTGTACCTGATCAATCGTTATTTGAATGCTAATTATTTCCGCATACAATATGTATGTTACTCTCTCTCTCTCTCTCTCTCTCT